AAGCACGTAAAAATGCAAGTAGAAAAATAGGAGCCACTTTTGGTGGGAAGGGAACAGCGTTCCGTGCGCCTTCGGTGTTGAGGCATGCCGGCCACATGACCACGGAGACGCCTTTGGACAGTGCTGGCACTTCGGCTTTGAAACAGAGATGAGCACCGCCCCCTAGAGTCAGGAACGACTAGCACATAGGTGCAAGAGGAACCTTCACCTTTACCTTTAGTGTTTTACAGCCCTCTCTAAGTAGTTTATAGAGCCAACATCTTACCCTCCGCCCCCAACAATCTGGGTCCTCCTTTTTACCCACCTCGGAAGGACCTGAGTCAACCTTGAGATTTGAACTGCCCGATTTCAGGCAGCTGGCAGGCAGCAGAAGTGGCCTGCAGTACTGCACTCTCACCACTGCGCCACCATGGCGTAGACTTGGCCTGGTGCAGGATAAAAACAGTGGCCACTCTAAGCATTGGGATTCCTCTCTGTGCTCCCAAGCGACATTGTGGAATAGGAACTGGGAAGGGGTGTGTGTGTGTGTGTGTGTGAGAGAGAGAGAGAGAGAGAGAGATGGGGGGACTGTGGAGCCCCCCTCTTCCTCCCTCATTTCATTCTCCCCTCTTCCCTACAGGTCAACTTCAACGAACCGCTCTCGATGCTGCAGAGGCTGACGGAGGATCTGGAGTACCACGAGCTGCTGGACAGAGCGGTCAAGTGCGAGAACGCCATCGAGCAGATGTGCTTTGTGGCCGCCTTCTCGGTGTCTTCCTACTCAACCACGGTCCAGCGGACCGCCAAGCCCTTCAACCCGCTCCTGGGCGAGACCTTCGAACTGGACCGCCTGGAAGAACTCGGCTTCCGATCGCTCTGCGAGCAAGTGAGCCGAAGAACCGGCAGGGGGGTTGGGAGAAGGAGGGGGGGGAAGGAGTTGTTGTAGGGTTGGGGGTCCAGGCCCCTTACTCAGGTGGGTGGGCTCTACCTGTCTGTTCACCCCAGAAGATGCTGGGGAGGCGGGAAAGGGGTTTAATCCAAGGATGGTTCTTAGCTGAAGGCATGAAAGCCAGATGGGTGACTTTGGGCCAATCACCAGGAGACGGTGAGTTCTAGTCCCACCTTAGACATGAAAACCAGGTGGGTGACTTTGGCCAGGCAGTCTCTCTCATCCCAAGCCACCTCACCAGATTGTTGTTTTGGAGAAAATAGCAGGAGGGATAGGGGAATACATTCATTACTGCCCTTCGGATAGTCACTCACGCCCTCGTCACCTCAAGACTGGATTACTGTAACGCGCTCTACATGGGGCTGCCCTTGAAGAGCGTTCGAAGACTTCA